GTGAAAGGATCAGACCGAGATGGTGGTAATCCCTTCAGTGACTGAAAGACATCCTCAAAATCCTGGACAACCTCAATATCTCCCATAACAACTCCAGCTCCTGACTCAGACATAGAAATCGTCGCCAGATACGCCTCACAGCCCCGCTCTAACAACTGCTCGGCCTGAATAGCAGATATCACAATACTCCCGGAAGTCGGTCTCACTCCCTGATAAACCAACCTCCCTGCATCTCGCTCGAAGACCACTCTACCTCTGTAGCAATCCAGATGAACTCTGTAGTGTGACAACCAGTCCATCCCGAGAATAACGTCATACAGCTCCACCGGACTGATGACTAAGTCTGCTGGCATTGACTGCCCCGCAATCTCGATCTCGACTCCTCTAGCACGGCCCAAAGTAGACAAGAATCCACCTCCCGCCACCTTGACCATGCCCGCGCTCTCGCCCGCGCTACTCCGGATGCCACTCTTCTCGGCACGCTCCGGTGTAATGAAGCAATTCGATGCTCCAGAGTCGAATAAAACGTGGGACTCAAAACCGCCCACTAACAAGGTCCCTACACATTCAATGCGTTGAGAACCTCCACAATTCTATCACATACAAAAAGAACAAACTACAACCACCACAAATGCGCGTCACCACTCAGATAGTGGACTGCTAACTCCACCTGATACTAAACAAACATCTGATAGACTGGAAATTCCGCTCCAATCTCTAACGCCACTAATCTGCCGCCTCTGGGCTAACTCCGCCCTAAAGTACGGCGTACCAATCCTCTGCATGTGCCCCATCATATCCAAAAAGGCGGCACCATCAAACCCACAGCCTGCGGCTGAACAAAACCCGCAGCCCTCTGCTGCACCTCTGCCACTGGAGGTACTCCCGGAGCCCCCTGTGGAACCACTGGCGGAAAACGAGCCAATAACTGCGTCAGCAAACCCACCACTAAGTCATCAAGACCCTGAGCCGGAGCACCACCCCACCCGGAGCAGCCCCCGCTCCCAAACCAACACTCGCATCCACACTGGCCTCACTCGCCACGGATACCGACTGGGTCACCGACGCAGTCGCCACACTCGGCGCCACACTCTCTCCCGAATCCGCCGAAGTCCACGACCTCGGCCCCGGCCTCCACGGCCTCTAGCTCTGCCACCACGGCCTCAGCACCGCGCCCTCTCGCGCCACAACCTCTAGCTACTCAGTCCATCTCACTCATGGAACCAAAAGAGCACACTAGAACACGCAACCAAAACTCAAAACAAACATAAACTCACCGCGGAATCTCTTGTAGCTGAAGGGGATGATACTAACCTAGCAATTCTAACAGTCCTAAAACCGTCTAGGCTCTGATACCAAAATGAAACAACCAACATTTTTTTTTTTTTAATAAATATTAATCAATTCTAGCGAAGGTCTTAAAAATAAATTAAATAAATAAAATATCAATAACAAATAAATCAGCTCAGCGGAAGCAAATAATAATTAAACAAGTCTAGCAAAATAATGCAAAACAATAAAACAGTAAACATCCTATCATCCCCCTCTTCAGCCTTGATTCCGCGATCACACAAATCTTTTACCTGCAACACATTGGAATGGAGTTGCGTAAGTATTTAATAAATACTTAGTGAGGCAATCACTCTGCCTACGAGCCATTTACGCAATTTACTAGATATTTAATAATATTTATAAACTCCAATAATTATTAAATACCATTTTCCAATTATTAAATAATTTTAATAATTAAAACTCAATTTCTCAATTATTAAATAATTCTCATAATTAAATAATAATTTTCCATATTTTAAAATAATTAAAATAATACCAATTAATTAAATAAATATTATTTAATTAATTAAATCCGAATTAAATCTATTTAATTCCATTAAACCAATTAAATTCAATTAAACCAATTAAATTCAATTGAACCAAGATAAACCAGAATCAAATCAATTAAATTCAATTAAACCAATAAACCAGATTAAACCACACAAACACACAATTCATCACATGAACAACCAAAATATCATAAAAATAACAATTAAAACATAAACTCATCAAGAACAACCACAAACCAAATCTAATCTAGCAAATCACGGACCCACAGTCATGCACTCACCTTGACAATTGATTGAAACTGAAGGAAAAAGGAAGACGATGAACAGTGCCGAATCGCGGATGAACAGTCCGATGAACAGTACCCGTGAACAGTACCGATGAACAGTACCCGTGAACAGTGCCGATGAACAGTAAAATCGAAAATCTCTCCAAAAACTCAACTTTTCTCCTCTACAGCATCTGAACTCGAAAATTCTCCAAAGAGAAGACGGCTGCACTCTTTAAACTTGATTTTAGGGCTTTCTCCACTAAACCGACCCAAACCAATTCACTTAAATTGAACCGACAAAATTCCCAATTTTTATTTTTGGTTTATGGATGTTACAATATTCTTCCGTGATTTAAAAAAATAAAAAGAAATAAACTCGCGTATACGCGGGGCCTAATCTAGTAGATAGATAAAGCTGGATGCGCTCGACGTGGTTGCGACACGTAGGATTTTTATAAAATTTAGGATTGCGACATGTGTCACTTTTAATGTTATGTCCGTTAAGATCGTGACATGTGTCTTAGAAAAAAGGAAAAAAAAATAATAAATAAAAAAAAAAAACGAAATTTTAATCTTTTATAGTTAAAAGAAAAAAAAATTATATTTGTCATATCCTAATAGAAAAAGGTTTCTCATTCATCAAATTTATATTATCCAAACACATATAAGATTCAAATTAATGAAATAAATAAAATCCTATTAGTACATGAAATAGGTTAGGTAAACTAAATTTCCTATAACTGCATGGAATAAGTTACATGAACCCCTATAAAAAGAGAGTTAAAGTAGTTTTTTTTCTCATTCACAAACTCATCAAAGCAAACAACATGATAGCAATACGCATGATTTTTATAACTCACAAAATTGCGATATGTGTTTATATTCCCATTATGAACAGGAAAAAAACAATATATAATAAGCTATTGCGATTCAATTATGTGCTTCTATCTTTTGTATAATCTTTTCTCTCATAAAAAATCATGTATTTAAAATTCATGGTATCAATGAATAATATTTAACTCTATATTAGTTGGATAGAAATCAAAATTATTGTCGATACATGTATCTAACTCTATATCGGTTGGATAGAAATCAAAATTATTGTCGTTACATGTATTTGATCCGGTGAAGACATGTTAATTGGAAAAATGTTAAACAGATATAAAAACTAGAAAAATAATTAAAAAAAACTAACTAATAATGAAAATGAAAATTTATAATGGTCTGAGTCAAAAACAAAATTGAGAAAGAAACAATATAAATAGAAAACTAACAAATTAATTATCAAGCAACTAACTTTTTTTTTGACATCATCAAGCAACTAACTAATATTAAGAAAATATAATGAACCGATATTCTAATTTTAAATAGTTTAATTTTCAATATTGTTAGGTAAAAAATTATTAAATAAAGATTTCATCAATTGAAATCTCTTGAATGGAATAATAAAGTTTTGTTGAATTAATTAATCAGTTGATCATATTTAGACATATATAAGTCTTTCTATATTGGATAAAAATAAAAATAAAACAAATTAATTCATTTTTCATATCATGAATTCAAAAAAATATCAATTACAATAAAAACGTAAAAAGGTTACCGATCTTATTTTATTTAAATATTTTTATCGGGTTTTTAATATTATTCTGTTTACTTTAAAATGATCAAATTTGGTTTAATACTTTTCCATGATTTTATTACAAAATCTTAAAATAAATCCGCGTATACACGGGTCTTAATCTAGTATATTAAAAGAGAAGACATTTATAAAAATCCCATTTGTTTTCAACTTAATTTCAAGTATGCCATGCTGAGGTGTCGCAATTTGCCACACTCTCATAATATTCTAAAAATAACCTCTCTTTATTAGGCAAGTGCTGAAATATTTATTATTAATTTAATCAGAAAAATAATTATTAATTAAAATTATTTTTTTCTATTTCCTTATCTGGTAGTGACGAAAATTATAAATAAATTTAAAAGTATTTATTAGTCAATCAATCAGTAAAATATGGAAAGTTTTATTCAATTGTATTATATTAATTGTTTAAAAATTAATTTATTATCTTATCATTTTTTTAACTTTACTTTTTCAAAAATAAATTATATCATTACATCAAAATATTTCATAAAACAAAATTAGTTTTTTCTGCATATGCTATGATTTGAAAATTTTAAAATGAAGCAAATCTCTAAAATTGTTAAAAGTCTCATATCGATTATATTTTGGGATGATAGTTCAAAAACCTATTATAAAAAAAGATCCAAATAATGATCAACCATAGTAAAAAAACTGATTTATTAGGTTTCCAAACTTTTTTTTTAATTTGATTTAATTTTGTTCTTTAATTGAACTAAATAAATAAATCATAATAAAATCTAATAACTTAATATATAAGTTAAACTATTTTAGTTATTTAAAATTGATCAAAAATATTAAATATATATGCCATATAAAACTATTTCAAACTTATTAAAAGATATATATGTGGATTCAACTGTGTCACTTAATATTTCGTCATGTTCCAATCCAGCTAAAAAAATATACATCACTCAAAATTTTATCTAATGTAAACTGACATATTTTTTATTGTCTAACACCCTATTTTTCTAGAATGATACTTATGTAAAAAGATATCTAAAAATAAAATTAAATCAAAAAAATATCACTCCGTGCAGGGTGCGGGTCCAGTTAGTAAAAGAAAAGAAATAGACTAATGAAAATGTGACACGAGGGTTCTCATGAATCATTGTTTAGATGTGGCTGAACCCATCACATAAAATTAGTTAGGCCCGATACGCGCCGTTTTGAAGTCACTGCGCACGAGCATGAAAAAAAAAAGACTCACAAAATCACAATGATGGCGTCTCAAAAATCTTGAGCAAAAATATGAACAGCTTCTTCAACAATCCCAGTAGACCAAGCCCGCGGCCATGGCCAAACAGGAAGAAGCAAACCAACAAATCCGCCGTATGTATTTTCTCCGTCTCTCTACTCGCCGTTCTTCTCTTCGTATTGGTCTTCTTCATCACGTGGTCGGAGATACCCAAATCCGTCTTCTCTATCTCTGCATTCTCCGGATCCGTCCAATTCCCTCAGTGCAGATCCGAGATACTAGCTCGAACTCTTCTAGGTCAGAGATTTCTCTGGTACGCTCCCCACAGTGGATTCAGCAACCAGCTCTCGGAATTTAAGAACGCGGTTCTGATGGCCGGAATTCTCAATCGGACCTTGATCGTTCCTCCGGTTCTGGATCATCACGCCGTCGCTCTCGGCAGCTGCCCGAAATTTAGGGTTTTGAGCCCGAGCGAGATACGCCTCTCCGTTTGGAACCATTCCGTTGAGCTTCTTAGAACTGGCAGGTCAAGCCTACTTGCTCAATTATTTCATCTACAAGATCTGATGTAGTAAATTTTGACGGATTTTGGTGTTTACAGGTACGTTTCGATGGCTGATATTGTAGACATTTCGTCGCTGGTGTCTTCTTCGGCTGTTCGAGTGATTGACCTCAGGTACTTCGCGTCTCTACTGTGTGGTGTTGACTTGGAGACTCTATGCTCTGGCGAACTAGCTCAACAGTCTCAGGCTTACGAATCGCTGAAACAGTGTGGCTATTTGTTATCTGGAGTCCGTGGTAATGTGGATAAGTGTTTGTACGCTGTGGAAGAAGACTGTAGAACCACTGTTTGGACGTATGATAAGAAGGGAGATTCTCACGGAAAGTTAGATTCTTTCCAGCCAGATGAGAAGCTCAAGAAGAAGAAGAAGAAGAAGAAAATGAACTACGTGAGAAGGCGGAGAGATGTGTACAAGAGTCTTGGACATGGCACAGAAGCTGAGTCTGCAGCTGTTTTGGCGTTTGGGAGCCTCTTCACTGCTCCATACAAAGGCTCTCAATCGTATATCGATTTCCATGAGTCTTTGACTGAGAAGGTCGATTTCCTTCCGTTTGTTCGAGAGGTAATGAGTGCTGGGAAGAGATTTGCGTCGGGAACGATCAAGGCGCCGTTTCTTTGCGCGCAGCTTAGACTGCTTGATGGGCAGTTCAAGAATCACAGGGAGGGGACGTTCATGGGTTTAAACCAGAAGCTGGAGTCTTTGAGGGTGAAGAATCTTGGTCCGGTTCATGTGTTTGTGATGACGGACCTTCCTGAGAGTAACTGGACCGGGACTTACTTAGGTGATTTGTCCAAGAACTCGACTAATGTTAAGCTACACTTGCTGAGGGAAGAAGATGAAGTAGTGTTGCGAACGCAGCAGGAGCTTGCTTCAGCTGGTCACGGCCAGAAATTTGGGTCTATTCCGATGAGTCTTGCTAGTATCAAGAAGATGGAGAGCCATTGTTCTCCTCGTAGGTTATCCAATGTACGGCTTTACTTGGAGGAAGCTGTTTGCAGCTGTGCGTCACTGGGTTTCGTCGGGACTGCAGGGTCTACAATAGCTGATAGTGTAGAGAAGATGAGGAAATTCAATGCTTGTAGTAGTTGAACTCGTACTGCATTTCTATAAGCATGTGGTAGGGACAGATTTGTCATCTGTCTCCATTTTGAGGTTTTGCTGATGAGAACAGGCTTTGGGTTTTCTTTTGGATCGTTTTTGGATTGTTAGGTTCTTTTGGAATCTGTCTAGTTTCTAGTTATAGAAGAAAGCCACTTGGTTACTTCGCATAACAAATGGCTCAAGCTAAACAAGGCTGAGATTGCGTGAGATGAGTGTTGCAGCTTTGTGAGTTTTGTAAAGGTTGAGGCTTTTGTGAGTTTTTGTAACTTTTGTTTGTAATCCTTGTATTTGTTTAACCGGTTTTGATAAGTAAGTTTTGTACCAAAATCGTGGAAGTGGTCTGGCTAAGAAGGAATCTAATAATATTAAACCGGATTAAGGATGTTGTACGTGAATATTTTGTGACCAATGACATCTCTCCACGTTAGCAGAATCCACGCGTAGCTTCAGAATGCAAAAGGAAACGTGAATTTGCATTTGTGACCAATGGGATCTCTCCACGTAAGCGAATCCACGCGTAGCTAGTGTAAGGCCGAGCTAAGCGAATTTAATCGCTCGTCTGTTTAGGTGGCGTCGTCGGTCACATCCACCGCGAACATTTCTATCGGATTTTGAGATAATACGGCGGAGGTTTCCACTGTGCTATTGGATATTTTTGGATCTGCGATCTGATCGGCTCGCATCGAGTGTTTCGCATCGAATTGGTGTGGAGAGATTCTGTTGAATTTTTGGATTCTTCGGTATCACTGAGTTGATTTTGTGTGAAGAAGATCATTCGCGGCCATGGCTGCTCCGTTTTTCTCAACTCCATTTCAGCCTTACGTCTATCAGGTTTTCTTCTCTTTTCATTTGTGTTTCTTCTCTGCCTAGTCTTGTATTTTGCTCGAATTCGCGAATTTTGGGATCCTTCCATGTAGATGTTGAGCAATGTTATGTTAATTAATTTCGTTTTCGTTACTTATTATTACGGATGAGCTCGCGATTCAGTTTTCATGAAAACGCTAAGAAGATATCACAGTATTAGTGAGATAATTCATTAATCTCTAGAGGTTGATAAGATAATTTGGTTGATCTCTCCAATTGTATCTCACAAGTGTTCATTCATGTCATGCAGAGCCAAGAAGATACGATTACACCTTTCCAAATTCTTGGTGGTGAAGCACAGGTTGTTCAGGTAGGTCGACGACATTGTTGCATTTTGTGGTTATATGCCTTTATCCTCAAGTTTTCTGACCATTGGATTGTTTTGTTGACAGATAATGTTAAAACCACAGGAAAGGGTCATTGCTAAGCCTGGTAAATTTCCAGTCTCTCTAAATTCGCCAGAATGGTCTTACTCTCCTTGATTCAACTTTTGTAAGACTGGATTATATAATGTATATGGGAACTGATTTGATAAGGTTGATGTAGGTTCCATGTGCTACATGTCTGGCTCCATTGAGATGGAGAATACTTATACCCCTGAACAAGAAGTTGGAGTTGTACAATGGATTCTAGGCAAGAGTGTTAGCAGCGTAGCTCTTCGCAACACCGGCCAAAACGATGGATTTGTCGGTATTGCTGCACCTTCTTTGGCAAGGATTCTTCCGGTTAGTGATTCTACCTTGCTATATCCGTATAATTAAGTATCATGCTTAATTTACATCATGATCTCATTCTTATGTGTTTTGGTTCTTTCCGTGAAGGTTGATTTGGCAATGTTTGGTGGGGAAATCCTATGCCAGGTAGAGCTGATGAACGAAAAACCTAATATTTGCTCTGTAAAATGCTTAGCTGTCAGCTTTTTGCTCCACATTCAGTGACGTGACATTTTCGTCTTGTTGTGTGTGTAGCCAGATGCATTTCTCTGTTCTGTCCATGATGTGAAGGTCGTAAACACTGTTTTCCAGAGACATAGAGCTAGAAACATTGCTGCAGCTGGCGCTGAGGTAAAGGCAAACAATGCATAGCATTCATTCAAAAAACTTAAAGAGTTTTATCCTTTCCTCTTAGTTACTTCTTTGTAGATGAAAATCTGTATATAACTCACGTAATCGTTGTTGCAGGGGGTCCTGAGACAAAGGCTATCTGGCCAGGGTCTCGCTTTTATTATCGCCGGTGGCTCTGGTATGCAACTAGGACTTATCTTAACATGTTGCCTTCTCTCAGTTTACTTTAGACCTTTTACCTCCAAAAGGAAACTGATCCGACTCCATTTTGCTTCATAAGTTGTACAGAAAATCCTGGAGGTGGGAGAAGTTCTCACCATTGATGTTGCTTGCATTGCCGCTCTCACTCCCTCGATCAATTTCCAAATCAAATACCATGCGGCATCTGTAAGACGGGCTGTGTTCGGGGTACGTTGCATTTTTGTCTCCTTTTCCATTTTGCTTTTGTACAACTTGCCAATATAAATCCATCTCACGTCTCTACAATCTTCCAATAGGGTGATAATGTAGTAACAGCGACCCTGACGGGACCAGGCATTGTGTTCATCCAAAGTTTACCGTTTCATAGGCTCTCCCAGCGAATCGCAAGGTTAAAAGGATCGACCTCTCTCTCCTCTTGGGTGGCTTTTATATATCGTTATAAGGAACAAGTGTTCAAATTAGACTCAGAAGAGGTTTTTTTTGTTTCTTTTTTACAGGTCGGTGACCTCTCCAAACATGAGAGAAAATCCAAGAGTATTGGTTCAAATAGGATTATTCATATTCCTTGCATACGTTGTGATTGCATCTTCTCTGATCCTTACCGAAATGTGAAAACAAAGTAGTGTTTTGTTGTTGCAGTAGATGGGACATGTAATCAGATATTTGTTTTATGCTTGTTAGTGGATGTTTGACGGAACAAAAAACTGTGTAAAAGAAACAAGGCTGATATGAGCCAAAGCCTTTGACTTTGATCTGGTAACAGCCTACGTACTGTTTAATGTGAGAAAGAGAGAGATTTAGCAAAGCTTTGGAGGTTAAGGTTGATTCTTGGAAGTTCATTTCCTATTGGTACAACTTAAATATAACTAATGTAAAAAGGAAAATATGGAAATCTAATTCATAAATTCAAACACCAAAATCCGTTAATTAAAAACGCCCTAACCATACTCTAAACACCCCCAACCATAGACTCCGTAGTATCAAAGGCAATGAATAATAGTTAATCAGGCTTTGAGAAGATATTACTGCATAACATTAGGATAGCATAGCAGGTAAGAAATCGGATCGGGGAAGGTTTCATAACCGTAAAAGCCTGATGCACTATCGTAGAAATGTTAACATCTTGATGAACAACGGCTATTTTCCATTTGTACGATGATCTTGTCTTTTATTGTTTTGTTTAAGCATATGAGTGAAACTCAATGTTGTCAATTTGTTCATATATACATTACTAATTTGATATATATTTTGTTTAAAACTGTTTTTTTTTTTTTTTTTTTTCTAATACAGTATAATTATCTTTCAGTATCTATCTATCAATAGGAAAACATATTAAAAGAGTGTATCAGGAAAATATTTAAAACATAAGGAATATTTGCTGTTTTTTTGCTAAACTACGTCTAAACTAATGATAAATTTAAATATTACTCCCTTCTTTCCTTAATAGTTAATGTTTTAGACTTTTCACATAGATTAAGAAACAATTAATGCTTAACTTTTAATGTATTATTTATTATTTTCATTTTAAATAACTATTAACCAATACAAATTATAGAATCCTTTTGAAGTTTACATTTTTGTGACATTTATTAACAAAAAATACATTTAATACTCTAAACTATCAACTAATAATGAACAAAAAAACAAAAATTAAAACATCAACTATTAAGGAAGGGAGGGAGTATATAAGAAACTTTAATTGTGTTTCTATCACATGATATTTCTTTTTTTTTAATATTGTGCCATTTTTTTATAAATATTTTTTTAGTTGAGAATACTTTTATAAAATTTTCCCTAAACTAAATAGTTTTCTGGATCCGCCACGGAAACTATACTTGTTTCCTCAGTTCTTTGGCTACGTACATCAGGAAAGAAATTTATTTTCGAGTTACAACTTACAACTAACAAAGTCAATTTAAACATAACCTCAATCATGCTTTCTCAATAGGTGTCTTGATGAGTCCTCAAACACGACATAAAAACTCTTATAAAACCCCTAAAAACTTTATGTTATTTCCAAAGCGGTAGTATTGCCCATCTAAAGCTTTCTAGTTTTACTATCTTGTTAAGAGAAATCAATTTGTTAGAAACTTTTTTTTTGGTGCAAAATTTGTTAGAAACTTATTTTAAGAAACCTAAACAATAATATATGACGTATTTCCAGGTTGAAATTGCTTAGTCTATACGTCTTATATGAGTGAAATATAAATTATCATTATTAATTTGTTACATATTTTGTTTAAAATAGAATGTTCCATTTTTTTATATTAGTATAATTATCTTTTATATTTCGATCTTACTCTCCTCCTATGGATGGCGGAGTATAGTTTCAGCTCGACCTCTGGTTAAAATAGGACTTATCAAAAGGGTTGGTTCAGGAACATCTATCTCTGTTTGGGATGATCCTTGGATTCCAGCTTCTACCCCGAGGCCAGCCACAGGACATGGGATTAATTACTACCCTCACCTCCGGGTGAGTGAGTTGATTAACCCCAGTACAACAACGTGGAATTTACCACTATTGAATCAATTGTTTGACAGTATGGATGTCTCTCTAATTCTCGGGATCCCAACCTCAAATGTCGCCCGACCAGACTCCATGGGATGGTTTTTTACGAAGACGGGGAGATACACGGTAAAATCGGGTTACACGGTCCTACAACAAAGTTTGGACGCTGATAGGCCCATCTTTTTTGGTCCGGACACACGGCGCCTTCAAGCACAGGTTTGGAAGGTACAATGTACTCAGAAATTACAACATTTTATCTGGCAAGCTTTGACGGGATGCATAGCGGTAGGGGTGAGACTCCAGAGTCGCGGTATGCAGATAGACCCACAATGTATGCGGTGTGGGATGGCGGCAGAAACAGTGAACCACACACTGTTTGAATGCCCACCGGCACTGCAAGTTTGGGCTCTATCTCCAATTCCAACGGCCCCACAGCGTTTCCCTACAGGAAGTTTGTTTGCAAATATGGCATATCTTTTTTGGAATTTGCCAGACGATGATAGAATGCGGATGTATCCTTGGTTAATTTGGTATATCTGGAAATCACGAAATGATAAGGTTATGGCGAATGTGGACTGGGACCCAAATGAAATAGTAATCAAAGCAACAGCGGAATCTTCGGCATGGGTAACCGCCCAGGAAAAACATGTAATGCTATGTCCAATATTGACAACCTCAGAGGAATCCCCTAGAATGGGTGATATTTGTCAAGTAGATGGAGCTTGGAAGGAGACAGAAAGTCGAGCTGGGCTAGGATGGTTTTACTTGAACATGAATACTCAGGAAAAGCTTATGGGAACTCGTAACTTGAGAAGGGGAATATCGCCCCTCCAAACGGAGTTGGAGGCACTTATTTGGGCCATGCATTGTATGCTACGGCATAATAAATTGTTAACGCGTTTTGAGACGGATTGCTCTGATGTGGTGAAGATGGTGTCTACGCTAGAGGAGTGGCCAGCGTTCGAAATACTTCTTGACGAGGTTGACCGGTGTAAAAGGAGGTTTACCTCTTTCTCCATCGCGCACATACCTAGGACAAAAAACACGAAGGCAGACAAGTTAGCACGGAGTCCTCGAGCTCTACCTACTGATGTGTATTATGTAAACTCAGTTTCGCCAACTTGGATTCCCGAGCTGGTTTAGAAATAGGGTTGTCGACAAAAAAAAAAAAAAAAAAAACATATTAAAAGAGACGTGTATCAGGGAAATATTCAAAACATAAGGAATATTTGCTCGTTTTTTTGCTAATTAAGTCTAAACTAATGCTAACTTTTAGTAAAAATAATAACATTTAATTGTGTTTTTATAGATTTCTTATCTTAGTTTTATTTGGTCATAAACGTTTTTTTTTTTAAAATATCTTACTATTTTTATTAGCTGATATTTTTTTTTCTAAAAATGTGTCATAGACTAAATAATTTTTTGGATTCGCCACTAGTTGTTTGATCCAACGATTGTGATTGTTTGATTGCAAACTACAAAACATCTCTCAAGAATTCATGTTTTATTTATTTTTATTTATTTATCTAACTAATTTGGTTATTTGAGTTTACTCCTACCAAATGTGTTAATTCCTCAGTTTGTGCATGCTTTCTACGGCAACCCCTTTCTCGATCTTTTAAGGTCCTAAAGACAAACCTTAAAAAAAAACAAGAAAGGGACAAATGGTTGCCGTATTAGAATTTGGAACACACGGGACTAATCAGAAATCAAGAAAGGTGTTTACTCCTCCGAAGTTGCAAGAGCAAAGCAAAGTACAATTATATCGGATCCAACCATCACTTGACCATTGCAGGGATGTCAGCTTTCAGTGAAGCTGCTATACAGCCTGT